TGTGCTCAGCATAACACATCCATATCTATGTGTGTATGTAAATATGCAATCACATCTATGTGCATTTGTAGATACAGATAGTCTTGTACATTTTACATTACTGCTTGCCTTGAGTGTAAAATCATTTTATTGATGGCCTATTTGGATGCTGATTCCTACATGTGTGCTCTCACTCTTGTTCGTGTTAATCCTACAGAGAACTACTGCTCGTGTTTAAGGCAATCACTTTTACTGCTTTTAGGAGCTGTATATCTGAAAAAAAGTTTCTTCACCATCCTGAAATGGTGAAGCCTTTGCAACAAGGATAAAGTTATCCACTTACATTAACACCCCTTGCCAGCATTCGGGCTTCTGTAAATTTCCAATACCCTTTCCTGATTTGGAAAAGAGAAATATGTTAGTGTCACACATACATGTGCAGGGGTTTTTTCATATTAATTAACACAGGTAACATTTCTATTGGAAATGCCTAGGGTTATAGATTTTGTTAAATAGGGCTCTTTAAAGTGTAATGTAGGAAACACTAGGGATACATTTGGCTGCCAGGTATCCCTAAAGTCTTCCTCTAGATGGAAACTGAATTTCCAGTTTCCTGTCATAGCTGTATCAGAGTCCTTGTTGTATATCTAAATGAAACAAAAATGAATTACTAGAACTCTGAGGACCTGAGGTGGCCCACTGCTTTTGTATGAGCAACAGAAATAATAATTGTTATTCCAGGTTTTGCTGGAATTTGTTACAAATGCATTCAAAATGCTGCTATTGATATGAATATTTTAAAAATGTCTTTAGTCACTACACTATATATAATTTAATGCCCAGTGATAGATTTGTTAATAGTGTACCATTTAGTATTTCCAAGATATTTCATAATACTTAGCAAATTAAGGGTGAAAGAGTCTTGTGTATGCCAATATATTTGAATATGGGTACCTATAATTATGTTCCCACAGCTCAGTATCTCTGTAAAATACATTAATTCTATAACTGGGATGGGAAGCAAAGTCTGAGTTAAGAGACTTTATCTCTCAGATCCATTTCCAAATTACCTTTTAAAGCAAGAAATCCTCTGGCTTTATATAGGAAGATAACTGTCCTTACTTTACATATATGGCTATGTCATTTGAGCTGAATATTTCATTGAGCTGGAATGAAATCTTGAGATTATTAAGGACTGTTATTTGAAAGTATCATCTCAGTAATGAGAAGCAGCGCAGGAAGGCAATATGGATATTGGGCCCTGTTAGGAAAGGAATGTATAGTAAGTGAGATGCTGGCACAGGTTGCCCAGAGAAGTTGTGGAAGACCCAACCCTGGCAGTGTTCAAGGCCAAGTTGGACGGGGCTTTGAGCAACCTGGTGCAGTGGAAGGTGTCCCTGCCCATAGCCAGGGGGTTCAAACTAGATGATCTTTAAAGTCCCTTTTAATCCAAACCATCCTATGAGTATATGAAAAAGAAAGGATTCCTGTATTGTAGCTTTACATAATCATGGTCTGCCTGCACCTCACTGCTTTAATTACTTATGACATTTGCAAGAATATAAACTTTTTAGTACTCTGCCATCAGTAGAAAAGCATATCCAGATCTGGCCAGCCATTAGCAGCTACTGCTTGCTTTTAATTTACTATTGTTGGGGGTTGAATTGTTCCCTTTTCTTTCTGTGGAATTTTCTCCCATTGTTATGCTAAGTAATTGTGGCTACACCTTAAAACGACAGATAATGTTCTCTTGTAGGGGGGTGGGTGGAGGGGGAGGGGGGGGAACCGGAAAAGGAAAGGTGGGACGGGAGGTCTGGAGCGGGGGACTCTCTCTCGCTTGGCTCGTGGAGTGGGAGGACAGTCCGGGCTCCGGTCTGGCATCTCCCCTGCCATCCCAGTGCTGAGATCCACGCTCCCACGCTCCCTGCCGTTGGACATCACTCTGCTGCTCTCCCACCTCACCCTATTATCTCCGGACACTCTGCTGAGCACCACGACCGACACCATGAGGGGGGGAGTCACTTTCCCATCCCTCTCACCCCTGGGCTGCTGTCGCCATCACCCAGGCCCTTCAACTGTGCGGGACTTGCCCTGCCCCCACAGCACCGGTAACTGAGCGCAGGGAGAGGCCCTGCGGCCAAAAGGGACTGGAGCAGAGCTAGACTGTTCTGTTCTGTTGCCAATTTTTATACCTGTTGTTGTTTTTTTCTGCCTTGTTGGATATCAGTAAAGAACTGTTACCCTTATCCCCACACCTCCTGCCTGAAGGCTTCTGATTTGGACCTAAAATAATTAACAGGGAGGGGGTTGCATTCCGCATCTCAGGAAAGGGGCTCTTGCCTTTCCTTAGCAGATACCTGTCTTTCAAACCAAGACAGCTGTGCACCCTGGAAAATATGAAAGGAGTAGCTTCTCCCTGTCTCTCTGTTTGGACTCTTTTTTGTCTTTCTGACTTGTAGACAGCAAGATTGATAGATGAACATCTGACCTTGGTAAGAGTAGAAAGGAAAGCACAGAAAGACTGTGTGTTTAAGTTATCATTTAGGTAATTTAATTTTTCTGAGCATCCATCCTCATTAATAAAATAGACAAAGAAGTCAGGGCACAGGTAGTCCCTGCTGTCTGTAAGTTGTTCATGTGTGTTAATAATATAGCCTTTATGCAGTGACTTTTAGACATGTTCTGGTGTGTTTTCAGGATTTGCAGTGCCATCTCAGTACTAAAGGCTGGAGTCTGTCCAGTCAAGTCTGTCCATGCTACCCTGGCAAAGGAGCCAGGGTCTGTTTTCTGTCCCTGAGCCAGTGCAGGGCATGATTTGCACTAAAACAGCTGAAGTCTCTTGCACTCTTTGACATCCACCCCCCCAGCTGTGGGAGTGTTGGATGTCCTGTCCCTGGAAACGGTTGAGATCAGGTTAAATGGGGCTCTGAGCAACCTCATCTAGGTGAAGATGGCCCTGCTTACTGCAGGGGCTTGGACTAGAAAAGTCCCTTCCAACCCAAATTATTTTATGATAAGGCTGAAGTAAGGTTAAACCTTAACAAGAAGGCCCTGGCCTGTTCTTTGAGACCAAGACCTGAATACGTTATACCCTTCATATCGGATCTTCCCTTTACTTTTAGTTTCGATCCTTAGTACTCAACTTTTTTTTTCAGCTATTGTGTTTTTAATTAGTTGTTAATTCCTGGGAGTAGTTAGCCTCTCGCTATTTGGGGAGTTGGGGAGGGGGGCAGGAAAGAATGAGTGCCTTGCTTCAGGGTTTTTCTTGGTTGTATCTGTTTCCATTTATTCTTCAATTCTTTTAGGCTGACTGGAGGTAATGGTTCTTAGCATGCTTTATAAATCATTCTGCAGAAGATCATGAGTGAGCCTTTTATTTAATAAATGTGGAGAAGTGGGCTTTTATCCTTGCAAAAGAGATCACAAATTCACTGTAATTTCTTCTGGATTACTGTATTTGGGATAGAAGTAGTAATAGAAGAGTCAAAAATATTGGTTTTACAGCAAGTTCCAATTGCCCTACCTTCTCTTTTATTTGCCATAGAAACATCAGTTATTTATGTTGAAAAACAGCACTTTGATTTGTCAGGAAAATTAATCCACAAACACCAGAGGTTTATGTCCAAAAAGGAGACAGAGGAGTCCTTTTTGCTTTATTCGAATAAAGGGAGAGGCCATGTGACATTCCCCTGGGATCTCTCAAATTTTTGGAGGACGCAGCCTCCTTTTAATCCTATTTTCCCGGCCGCATTTCCCTCTCTCTTTCCCCATTGGCTGAGGTACTTGAGAGGCACAGACTTCCCGGAACGCCTGATACCTGAAATTCCCCTCTAATGTGTAACCCTCCCTTTTAATTTTTAATTCTTATAGAATTCATAGTTTTCCCCCCCCCGTTGCTTCTTTCATCTTTCGATATCCAATTTCATTTATCAGCAGCCTTACAGTTTGTTTGTAAAGGCAAACATCTTTTTCCATTCATCAATCAATGGAATCCATCCCATCGTTTCTTTTATCTCTCAGTGCTAGCCTTATCTACAAGCAGATCCACAGCTCATTTGTAAAGACAAATTCAACATTCCTCTCAGATTTAATAGCACATAGGTATGGGTGCTTGGAAGGAATTTAGAAGCTCACTTTGAAGAGTTGCGCCAGTCTGAAAACCTGAACATTAATGTTCTTGAGCTTTGGAACAAGGTAAGTCTGCAGCCACATCAAATTGCTGCAGCTCACCTCCATTTCTAGACTCTGCTAGAGCAAGTCTCAGAGATGAGATTGCTTGCACAGCAGAGGAAACAAGATTTGGTTACAGGGATTTCAAAGAGAAATCTTTATTCAGGCTGCTGGAAACTGGCAGCCTGGCTCCTTGATCGTGTCTGCCTGGGATACCTACCTCTCTTGCACAGGCTCTAAGTCTTGGCAGGGCCATCACTCTGGCTACCAGGTCTGACTACAGTGGGCAGACTTGGCATTGCCCAAGCTGTATTCCTCATAAAATGGTGAAGCCACTGCAGAGAAAGCACAATGCTGACCTACAGCAATTTAAAATTTACTTAAAATAAATGCTCATCATGTGGATTTTGAATGACAGTTCCGTAGGCATCACACTGAATCTATTTACTCCCCAAAACAGCAGAGGGAAAAGTGCTGCACATGTCATGAAACACTTCATTAACCTTGTTCACACCCATATTAGTGATGAGAAATAACCAGATTCATAGGTCATAGGAAGTGGTTTCTTTCCAAGCACAGAGGCAGAGCAGAATGAGCTGTGAAGACATTTTGGTTTTAACAAATGTGTATCTTGACTCAGCAGCCCTGTGCGTGCTGAGCATCACTGGGCTTCACAGGAAAGTTTGTGAAAAAATGATGCCATGGATGCTCTCTCATGATAAGCATATAGCATATATATTTGTGATGTGATTTCTCTTCTGTAGGCAGTTACAAACATTTGCTTTCTGGTTTTAATACTTCTCTGTGTGGCTTGTGTGGATTCCTTCTTTCTGATTTTTGTTTTCTTGAAGGATGTGTGCTTGTGGTGTCTGTCATCGAACAGCTTGCACAGTGGCACAACAGTACAGTAAAGGCAGCCATGGAGAGGCTGTGTGACTACATACCTGGTAAGTACCAAATAATGGGCCATATGTTGTGTTGGTGCTGATGTATTTCCCTGTTAATTAAAAGCTCACATGGGAAAGCTGAAGAAACTTTATCCTTCTTTTTTGCAGTATCGTAGATGCCTGTAGCTGGAAGATAGTAAGTTGCTGTTTACAGGAAAGTCAGTGACATGGTGTGCTGGTTTGAAAGTAAAACCAGTGCGAGACTCCAAGTCAGTAATACAATTTAATAGGAGAAAAGAGAAAAAAATAAAATACATGCAATAATACAAAAGAAAAACCACCGACAAAGTCAGAAATACAACCTGACACCCTTTCAGTCAGGCTGTTGGTAGCAGTCCATATAAATGGTGGCTGCAGTCCTCCTGGATGACAGATGTGGTTCAGTTGAAGCAGTGGTCCTGTAGAAGGTGCTGTTTTCCTCCGAAGGTCCAGCAATGATGTGGAAAAGGTCCGACTTTCCTCTGGGATCCAGTGGAAAGGACTGCCTGCGCGTCCCAAACCCCAGTTTTTTATCTGGGTAGGAAAGGCTTGGCTCCTGCCCCTGGCTGGAGCATCTCCCAATGGGATGATGTAATCTTATCAGTCACACAATAGGACTTAATGGCACATTAACAGAATATATCTTCTGGAGGAAGGATGGGTTGTGAAAAGATAACGATGATCATCTCCCTGATTTATCAGATGGCACATCAGCAGAGGATATCTCCCACAGAGATAAGGATCACCACCCCTCCCACATTTCAACAGATGGTGATAGAATACACATTTTTGCATTGTATCCCAGGACACATGGCTTCAATTAGATTCAGAGCTGGAATTTTGTCCCAAAGTGAGAGTGAATGGGGCTTTATTAAGCCCCACATACATATGAGCACCAGCACATGCAGACCAGTTCCCTTCCTTTTTCCTCCCCTTTGTCTCTTTGTTTGCAGCTTAAGAAAAGATTCACTGTATGCTCCACTACACCTCCTGTTTGTTGATATGGATCTTTATAGCAACAGTGAGATGAAAATGTTTTCAGCAGCTATGGGAACTGCTATTGTAAAATTTTTAAAATGAGATGAGGCTGACAGGTGTAAGATGTGAGCTTTTGGTGTGCACAGAAAAGCTGAAACGTAATTGGTGATACAAATTTCAAAAACGATAGCTATTCCATGCAAATATATGTAAGACTTCCCTTTTTCTGCACCTTATTTTATCTACCCAAAGGAGGTTGCAGCTCCACATACACACCTTTAAATAAAGAACAGTCTGAATGCCAGAATAGCTTTGTGCTTCGCAAACCAATCCTATAACTATTTAGGTAACTAGATTTCACATTCATGATATCTTTTTAATGTTATTAATGTAAAAAGATGGCTTAGGATTCTTCATTCAAATGTCATTTTTATACGATTTAATGAATTGTATCTCTGAGAAATCATCTCACTCTGTAGAACCCAGTTTCACAGAAGATACATGTATAATATTAATTCCCTTCTTTCCAAGGGAGGATTTCCCAAGGCAGAACGGGGCAGGGAGCTAATTCCTAGGATTCATTCATTGATAGAATGACTCTTACCTGATTTCTATTACGTAAGTCATATCCTCCGTATTTTAAATTACAGGCACATAACCATGAAGGTGCAATTAGAAGCACTGATACTGCTATTAGAATACAATTTTCTTCTTTAAATTATGACATGCTAGCTCTGTGCTCATGATTGACTCCAGTGGACCTTGTTCTTCTGACATGTCAGGATGTTTCTTTTCAGCTGCCATTCTTTACACACATAAAATCCTATTATCCTTGTAGTTGAATTTGTATAATCCAGTTACCTTCTGAGATGCATGGATATATCCAGCAGAAAAAAACCTGGCCCTGAACTTGAAAGGAGTGAAAAATCCTATGTATTTTGTGGGAGCTACAGTGTAACCCGATTTATCCCCTCCTGGGAGGTGAACACTGCAGCCCAGCAGGAATCAACAGCTTCCTCTTGCTGCTCGAAAGAGTAGAAAAGCTTTGGATGCTCCTGAGAAGCAAACCTACCAAAGCAGGTCATACATTTCACATGGAGAAACAATTTCATTATTATATATATGCCTACAATCGATAGCAAGAATAACAGCAACAAATTAATGGCAGTGAGGCTTTTCCTAAGGCATAAATAGGAGTAGGTCTCTAAAAACCCTAGAAAGTGGGTTTTTTTGAGGGCCTCATATAATTCTGATTACAGTCAACTCAGGTCATGTGATGCTCAAGAACAAAAACTGTTTAGAGAAAAAGAGAGAAAATTTCAGTACCTGTCAGTCCCACTGAATGTCACAGATTGTGTAGCAAACAGAACTGCAGCCTCATTTGTATGGAAATACTTGCAATGTGTGTAATTCAAGTGACATGGCAAATAAGCCTATGAAAATAAGAACAGTAATGTCATGAGTCAAGAAGGCTCTTCAGCAGATAGAAAGGCCAGGTCTGGGGGAAAAGGCAGTATTTACAGTGTCAGAGGTGCTGTTAGCAAGAATGTTTGTTTACCTGGATACTGACTGCTTGATGACACAGAGGTGTCTGACATCCAAAATATGCTTTGAGACCCTCTGTCTCTGGCTTTGCCTCTGGGTCATGTTCTGCTTCTGTGTTGACCACTGCTGTGTAAACACTTTAGAGTTCAAGTGCAAATGGCAACATGATAATAGCATCTTTTTTGCAAATATTTTTCCTCTGGGATTCAGCCGCGTTTGTATTTTAAGGACTATGAAGGAAAACCTTTCGGACTGTTCCTAGGGGATCTAAGGGATCTTAGGGAATCTCTTTTGCCTGAAGCAAGTGTACTCTACATTTTCTCTAAATTTTCCAGCATTTAGTTTTGTGTAAGCTCTTTTCTTGCCCCTGAATACCCACAGTTATTCATCATTTCTCTCTTTCCCCGTCTTTTCTGACTTACACTGCTTCTTCCTAATAGAGATTTCTCTCTGCAATATCTTCTCCTTGTGTGTGCTAGCAGACCTGGAGATTGGCGAATACATGAACACAGCCTGGCTCCAATGGCAAGTCCTGGAAGTGCTGTCTGTAGCTTAGGTCTTGGTGTTTCGTTGAAATCCAAAGCCTGAATGGCACCTGAATCTTCCAAGAGGACTTTATGTGCTCAATGATAATTTAACATCATTACTATTCCTTTTGCCTCACATAATTTTTTACACCATGGGGTAATTACACATTAAGTTTCCTATATACATAAGGAAATCAGTGAGACCAGCAAAAAACTTATAATTCCCCAGAGCTGATAAGCAGCCAAAATCTCTCTTCTCAGATACCAGGAGAGGTTACAGCAGGCAGCAGGCTCCTCCAGAGCCAAAAATGTTGTGGAAACCAGCTGATTTGGGAAACTCATAAGGAGACCATTGCCTCTGATGCACGGTGGAGGTGTTGGGGAAGCCAACCAAGTTTGCTTGCAGGCTACTTTAGGGAGCCAGGTATCCCACTGGCAAGCCTCATAAGAGTATATTCTAATCAGCAGTGATGCCAAATACAGGGTTATTGATGTCTGGAACATCTTTCATTTTAAGTGAACGAGAATAAAATCTAATTCTAGTCAGGACACCAATTTTTACTTTTAGGAGCAGATTGTGCCTAAAGAGCTAGTAGTGAGGAGTTATGTGGCAAAGGAGGCAAACAATGAAGCTAATAACTTGATTGAAATAAAACATCTGTCATGGGATAAGAAAAATCAGCTACTCTAGTTACAGAAGCTGCCTGCAACACCATGAGTAGGAGGGTGCTGGGAAAATTATCTCTTTGTTCCCTGACATACCTGCCTGGTACCAGTCCTCTTTTCTCAGGTGCATATTGCTAGCTGGGATGTCTGCAGTCCTGGCAGGAGAGTAGCTGTGGGAGCAGGAGCACACCCACACCCCCCAGTGGAGGCCCAGCCACAAGGATTTATACCCTCCACACAGCAAAACTACCCAGCTGTATTCAGCAGCCCTAGGTGTGTCCAGCCTGGCACTGGTTAAAATGAAATATTCAGCCCAAAGTTGGAGGGAAGTGACTGCTTTGGGTGTGTCTCTGGTTTTTCTCTGGGAAAGATGACAATACTCTGTGCTTTCTTCACCTTCTTCTTCACTTTCTTCTGTCTTGGGTAATAGACATGCAAGAGAAAATGATAACTCTAAGGAGTTTGAGGAGCTGCGAGTTTGTTGTCACGGCACTTGTGTGAACCTGTCTCTTATGACATTTCACAGCACCACCCCCTCTGGAGCAAGGCCTGACGCCTCCTTTGCAGGATATGTGCATGATTAACCAGCTCCAGTCTGTTCAGGCCAAGAAATAGGCAACTTTCCCTCTTGGGAACTGTCAGATCAGTGCCCTGCTTGTATTCAAACCCCCATTCTCCCTCAGTGTCTTTGCTTGGGTGCATGGATCACCTGTTATTTTACAATAGTACCTTAAAGAAATCTCTGATGAACTGTCTTATAGACGAGATGCTTCGCAGATATTAAGGAAACCACCTGAGCCAGCATCTCAAAAAGGCACATGGCTGTAGACTGTGAAAGGAAGCCAAATGAAAAGTGTCAGGTGTTTCTTTGAATGCAATTACTATTGCACAACTCCTGCTTTCCACAAAACAAATTCTCTTAAGTTCACAAACCCCCAGAAGCTCTGAGGCAGTTCTAGGAGTAGCATGAAGCCCAACAAAACTTTCAGCACTTTGATTTATGTGTTTGTTTTCTTTCTTCTTTCAAACCTACTGAGATGTTTATTTAATCTGCTTAGAAGATGCTGTGTCATGCACAATTTCTTTTGACTTTTCCATTATGCCATACTCGGGAAAATTAACAAAAGTTAGTTATCCTTTTTTGTCTTTATCATGTGACTTACCTAAAGCCAGAAGGGTTTTGTGCAAGATCGGAAATTCAGATTATCTCTGGTGATACACTGAGGTCAGAGATTCACATGCCTTCCTCTAAGGTAAATCAGCATTCACCTTAAAGAACCAACTGCTGCTGTATTTTGACTGCTGTGAAACCAGTTTCAACATGCTCAATTACTAAAAAAAATAAAATTCTATTTTCTAGAAAAACTGCAAGGTTTCTGTTATATGCTTGCTGAACTTTATGGACCACACATAGCTGAACTGTAAGTATTGCTGTGTCTTCTCAGATTTTTGCTTAGTTTGTTCTTGACATGTAGAGATGTGCTGTCAGTTGAAGTGAAGGGATTTCACTCCTAAAATTACATCATTATTAAAGCAGAGATGCTTCAGAGTGATTCTGGTTTGGCATTTGGCGCAGTTATTCCTGAGTGAATAAGCACAGGCTGCCACTGGTAACCCTTTTGATATTCCATTTAAATCTCAGATCAGGCCCACCTGATATAATTATCTTTTGAAATTCAGCTCATTTGGCTGAGGGAGGAATTTGAATAGCCTGTGTATGTGAGACAGGTTCTATAAAATAACAGTGTTGCTGCTTGGTTCCTGTTTTCCATTCTACCTTTAATCAGGCTTTTTAATTGTAAGCCCCTATATGCTGTCAGCCCCAACCTTGCTGTGCACTCTTGGGGAAGCCTACTATTTAATCTAAGTGATTAAAAAAATAAAATGTAGGTTATTTTATTCCTCTTTGAAAGATCTTAATTTAATTAATAGAGCTTTTACTAGAGCTTCTTCTTCCCTATGGCTTTTATTTTTGTTTTTAAAACTAGCCAAGGAACTGCAAAGTGCTTACAGGACTATAATCAAACATTTTAATTTAATTCTGGATTATCCCAGAGGTGTGTCCCAAAAAGGAAGAAACAATTCTAACACTCGTGCTTAGTGATTAAAGGTTAAGGATCTTTGAAGGATTTCTGGTTATTTTGTTGAGTAGATGATGAAACATTCATATGTGCCAAATTGCATATGCATTAACTCTAACCTGTAAATCTATGTCAAGCTTATAATTTATTAAAAATCTAGAATAGTTATAATGCATTTGATTCAGGTGCTGCATGTAGACCACAGTCCTTTTTCATCATCCTGGGTTCCAGTTTTAAATGCTGAGTAAGATGTCGTGGCAGAAAGTCATTAGAACCCAACACTGTACTGAGCAGCAGTTATGGGCCATGGTGAAGTGAGCTGCAATGATTGTGTGGTGTTAAGAAGACTTAGCTTCCCATGGAAATAGCTTCTGCTTTCAAGAGCCCAGAAAAATATAATAGTCTTTGTTTATGCACTATTTCATTCAGCATAGACAGGGAAATGAATGCTGATGTGGTTTGCCATTCCTTGAGGCTGTGTAAACAGGAACCAGGACAGCTGCTTTGTCATCTCTACTCTCCTCCCAAGGTGAGTTGGTTTCCCACTTTTCTTAAAACTACTGGTTGTGGAATGTCTTTTAAGCTGGAATTGAGCAGTTTGAAGCTTCCACTGCACATGCATTGTCTAGGAAATAAACATTTAGAGCATGGACATTCCTAAAAACTGTGTTTGAACAAAAGGTACATACTACCTGTAGGGACCATCATCAACTGGGTTGAGGGTGTGTGGGAGTCACACGGCCAAATTCTCCTGTACTAGTCTGGATCAGAAAGGAAGGGTAGGTACTTTATTGTTAAGCAGTACAATAACCCCTAAGTGGATACTCAGCTGAGGTTCATCTATGCCACCATGTTACTACGGCACAACAAGTGATCCCCACATTGCCTGATCTGCTGTGACAGCCTGCATGGGCGCAAGTTACCTGCTGCAAATGCAGGGCTATTTGACTTGGATTAGTCTGCAGTGCAAGAGGTTTAAGCTAATGTGCATTATCTTTTGCCACAGGCTGAAACCATATTTAATTACCACCACTTCTCTGATGTACAGTTACTTGTAAGCACATTTGCATGTCCCTGATTGCATGTCCTAGACCTCTCATACATATCTGCATAGGTGTCTAAACATGGGCTGTTTGTTTTGGGATTCTTTTGGTTGTGAGTAATTTTTTCCATCCCAGCCACCATGCACCTCCAGTCACACTAAAACCGTGAGTGATGGGGGGTTGTTTGGTGGTGTTGAAAAGCAAGCTATTCACTTCAGCACCTATTTTTGGAAAACTTTTTCCCTGCATCTGGATGGAGAAAGGCACATTTGATTTTCCAAAGGCCTGTATGAGATGTTTCACACAGGATCTAGTCTGGAAGTCATTGAAATCAGGTAATCTTTTTATGGGTTTCAATGATCTGCAGTTCATCTCAAAGATAGATTTAGTTCTGCCAATATTAAGGTCTGGAGAAACACTTGCCTTCCAAGACTGACAGTAACATTTGGTTTATAACAGGTGTGAGTCTATGCTCCATGGTAAGTTAACATAAAGATCTATAGATGTGCAACCACACAGGAGTGAAAGAAGATGAGTGCAAGAAGCAGAGAGGGCCCACACCAACTCGACTCAACCAGAATATTGCCCAAACTTTATCAAACAGGTGCCATCAGAAATCCCCCATCCTGAACTGAGTGTCAGAAGTGCAGAGTGCTTCTTGAAGTGAAAGAGGATGCAGGCAATAAAATGCACTTAGAGGGATGGGCTCACCATGGCTGCACAGTGAGTTAGGCTAAGGAGCCTGGAGAAAGGGGCTTTAAATTAAGGTGGCTCTTGTGAAGAAATTAGAACACCTGTGTTGAAATGTTAGGCTGATCACATAGAAGGGAAAGGATGCCACTCCTAGTGTTGCTGTCACATCTTCGTGAGCTCTTACCCACTTCCCAGAGCACGTATAGGACCAAGATGCTGACTCCTTCCACCTCCAGCAACCACTTCAGTGAGTTCACTGTCCAGAAGGAAAACAGCTGAACGTGGTGGGGCTTTGGTTTATTTTCTTTAAACAAAATTTGGACTCTCTTTTGCATATCTGGAGACTGTCCCTCAGAGTGAGTGGCTCAAGCAAACTCTCTTCCCTTATAAGTGGTAGTTAAACTCCTTTCTGTCAAGGTATTTGTTTCTCAACAGTAATAAAGGAACTCTACCAACAAAACAATTTTTTTTACTCTGTGCTCTTCTTTTTGGCTCTCCTCTTATCCCAAGAGAGCATGAGGAAATGGGAGGAGAAGAGCAGTGCTTGGAATTCATGCTCAAGTGGTTGATAAATTGCTCACAGTAACTCTGTGACTAGTCAGACTGAGTAAAGATGAATTATGGGCGAAAAAAATTAATATACAATCAGAGACACAGGTGCATAAAATGCAGTTTACCTCACATTTACTTCTTTAGTTTGTAATATGATTGATCCATTTTATCAGTTTTATGAGTCTGCAAATGTTGGCACAGTCCTCTGCCAAGTGTTTGAACGAGACTTTAATACTAATGACTGTTCTGTTCAACTCTATTGGTTTTCAGGTACTTCACTTATTCATTTAGACTTTTGGATGCCCATTTTCCCAAAATTAGTATCATACTTGTACTGGCAAAGGGAGTGAAAGAAATAGCATTACCTGTCCTTGGAAGGCAGTATAATGCCCAGATTAATTACCTCTAAGGTGGAAAATATCAACGTGTATCTGCTTTTTCCATAATTAGTTTATTTTCTTCAGTTTGGATGCTGTTGCTTTAGTGAGGTTGTGTGTTTTGAGGAAGATGCCCTGTTTCAGAGGCCTTTCAAACTGTCTGCTTGATGGAGACACTGCAATCTGTATAGATGAGACGTGCATCATTTTACATACTTCCTTGGTCTCTGACAAATTAGCCAAAATTACTATATTTTTTTTTGCCAAGCTACCTGGAGCTATTAGGACGCTATGACTATTCTGGAAGAATTTGCTCTAATTATGAATAAAAAATATTGCTCTGTTCACATGGAGCTCAGTGTTCTCAGCACGGAGCTGGAGGAGAAGGGCATCCAGCTTGGGCAAGGGCAGCCTCCTGTTGCTGGGGCTTGGGCAAGGTGGGCTGCTGTGCTGGGAAGAGTTTCGGGAGCAGACCTCTGATGTTGGTAGGGAAGACTGGAAGGGGCCCTTGCAGCTCCTGGGTCACCAGCATGACTGTGCGACCAGATGTCCTTGTAATGGGTCCTGTGAGCCCCTTCTAGCCACCAGCAGCTTGTAGAGCAGAGCAAAGGTTCTTCTCTGCCCTTAGTATGAAGGTAGCAACACTGGGGTCTCCTTCAAGTAAAGAGACAAACTAATAGGGCACATGAGAAGAGAAGGCTTATTAAAGGTGGCTGAAAAGTGGACGGTATCTGAAGCTGCTGGGAAATTCTTTGTGGTTGAAGGTACCTCTGTAATGCACATTGTGGTTTAAGCCACATCAACAACAGATATTCTAATACGGGCTGCAGCTCACTCCAAAAGGCTGACCATAGTACAGGCATCCAAGATAGCTGGTTTAGGATGACTGGATAATGTTTTAGCCGAAAATGTTTATTAGCTCGTATGCTGGAGGACTTTCTGCACAAGGTCGTGTAATACAGGGATACTCCTCTAGCGAGTGAAAAGGGCTGAAATAGGGTGAAGAGTTTTATGCACTGCCTACCAGGTTTTTTTTTCTGGCCCTGGGAACAAACAGGTTTGCAGGACATTATTCTCAGTTTGTCTCCAGATTGTTTTAAGCCAGCTGGCCTGTGTGGTTAAATGGCAATACTTCAATTGATTTGTTGAGGCCAGAATAATGGCTTGATTTCAGCACTGTGGTCATGCTCTAGTAATCACTAAAACAGTCTGTGTTGGAAGTTTGTGCTCCATCTTTCTGCTTTTTAGGGTGCCTCTTCTGCTTCCCATCCCTTTTATGCTCCAGATTATCAGAGACCTTTCGAGTGCATATTTTGTCTTAATCTTCATCAACAGGTTTTTGGTGGAAGTCATTTTACATCAGCAAAAATATACATATTTATGCTCTTATAATTTTATCTTGCCAGAGTAAGCATTACTGCCACAAGCACTCATGCTGGTTTGTGTACCCTCTATAGGTCTTTCACTGACTTTTTACAAAGCCACATCCCTCATGGATATTACTGTAGTCAGTATGCTGTTTGACAAAGTAGGAGCCAATTCTGGGAAAAAGAAACCCTTTGGGGTTTAGTAAAATAAAAATACTCCTGCTGTTTTCTCTCATTCATCTTTCTCAGTAAAAATGTGAGATTCTTCCTGGGAGGTGAGACAGAACCAAACTCCAGGGTGAGAGTGCTTCTGCATTCCTGATTAAGTGTAGGCTGCCAGTCAAAAGTAGACTTTGTGACTGGGACCTATTTCCTTCTTTTGAGACCACAAGCTGTAAAGCAAGCATCTGGGAGTCAGGCTAGGTCCTATGGAGCCTTCCTTTTAGCCTTTGTTTTTGGAAGCATGTAAAATCTACCAAAGTGTGAGTTTTTGCTACAGACTGAACTGAACCCTGAAGAAGCTACCTATAGACGGGTAATAGCAGAAGGCATAGTATGAGTGCTAGATGCTCTTCTTTTACTTGTTTCTCTGCATTTCCTCTGCTCCTCTTCACTGGCAGAAAATAAAGTAAAATAAACCCTGCCCCAACTGAAAATCCAAACAGCCAAATCATACAACCCCAACATTCCTCCAAATAAATCGGAAGGAAATAGGGTGGCATGGGGTTTGCAAGGTGGTGCATGCAGCTGTGCTGTGCCAATGTAGAAGCTGTCTCAGACAGGACCCTCATAAACAAGCCTTGGACAACCCACAGTCACAGAGATATTTGGGGTAGGAGTGTGGCCGACAAAAGTGTGAGGACAAGGAAGCACTGCTCGTAAATAAATCCCACTTTTAGCTGTGCTATTTGAGAAACTTTGCAGAATTTTGCTATCTTGGTACTTTTGGTTAAAGGATGATGAAAATGAGTTAGAAGAGAAACTTGGAGTGCTTTGTAAATATCTGGTCTCCTGGGAAAAAGCTGGCTAACAAGGATGATAAATGAGAGAGAATTAGAGTTGGTTCATGGATTTGTTTACTATGAGAAATAATCTGTTTGCCAAAAGAGAAATCATTACTGGGAATGCATGGTCTCTGTGGAGAACACTAAAAGAAAGCAGTGAATGAAATCCCAGTGACAACCAGCCCTTGGTCTCATCCATGGTTGGATATCTTGTGCACACAGGGTGGCAGACTGCTCCGGTTGGGGTGGATGATGCTGGCTGTTCCACAGGACATCAGCTGCTGAAAGCCTAGGGAACCACTTCCTTGGTGGTGTTCTCATACCATGGGAAAAAGAGGAGGCTCCTTGCTAGCCAAGGTGCAGCAGGAAAGGCTGTATGGGTGGTATGGCATTCAGTGGCAGGCTGACATGCTGGAGTCAACCAGGGATTACAGGTGACCTATGAAACTGGGAGTATTTTCTTCCCAGTGGGTGTTTCAACTGCCAGTCTTCTACAGTCCATCCTGGAGTCTTGGCTGAAGTCACTTGTGAAGTGAGAGAAGGTGTCAACTTTAGTGCTTCAGAGAGAGCATTTTCTATATACAAGGTCAATCCAACCTTTTCCTCTCTTGTTTTCTACTTTCTGAGTGCAATATTCCTGTAGCTTTCTGAAGCATGCCTTTCTCATAAGCTGCTGCTGTGAGCAAGAAAGGGCTCTCCTACCCTGCCCAGCTGAAAAGGATTGATACATCCTACCTCTCTGGGAATTTTCCTTCTATTATACTCAATTTCGAGCCATTTTTCACATCTGCCTCTCAAGTAATTTTATTGCAGAAATTACAGCAGTTGGTATTGTATAACGTAACTGTAGTAAACGTAAGATGCGTGATTGGTTTTGGGTACAGCAGTTGCCCGAGGGAAGAAACTAGAAAACAGTGTCTTGGCTCATTGCTAGCTTCTGTCATCTATTTGTGACATACCCTGATTTTTAGAAGGCTATAGACACCATGAATTAAACATGTATTAACTACATATATTAATGTGACACATATATTAAAACCCGGCAGCTTAGAAGTCTGTGTTCCTTGCTGCTTATGTTTATTCGTCCATATCCCTTTGTGTTGTTCACCATAAAATTTGACCTTTGAATATCATGGTTAATTAATTTGCTTTGATCACTGCCTAAATCAATTATAATGCCATGCTAAATTTTATCTCCAGCATAAAAATGCTTGCAATGGTTACTTTAAATACTAAGTAAGTCTGCTTTAATATTCTAATTTGACATGCTGCTGTTTAGAAAGGTGCCATCACATGAGGGACATTTTCTTTTTTTTCCAAATGCTGTAATAATAGCTCTTGCTGAAGCATCCCTATTTCCCCCCTTGCTGAGTTTCTGTAGCTCTGTCCAGATAAATATAAATTCGTGCTGACTACCTCAGAGCCCTCAGACCCAGTTGATGTTAGGCTGAGAGTAAGAGGCACTGATACCAGGACATTTTCAGACAGAACAGTTTGTCCCCACTAACAATTTTGAGCAGAAACCAGATGCTGACATGTTTGTGATACTCCAGATCTTTTTTTCTTTTGAAATGTTTTCAAAAATAATTTATTTTTATCTCCTTTTTTATTTTAAGTTTGGGGATTTTTTTGCCAATTTTCAAAGCCTACAGAACATTAGTTATTCCTGCTGAAAGAGACCAAACAGGCAGTGCTTTCAGCCTTCCTCATGCTGAATGCTGAGGCTATCACATAGTTACTGCCTCACAGATATGGTTGTTTTCAAAGGTGGCCTAATAAATGCAGCACAACATATGGGAATTGTCATCACTGAGATACAAGAATATTGTCCTGAATTGAAAATGGAGCAGCAGGGGGGAGCACACTGGAGTTAGAATGACTCCTCTGACTGTCTCTTATTTTTTTTTCCTAAATTGGAGTTGTGAGAACTTCCTTTCTTATGGAAAGATATGGCTGAATTTAGAAAGTGCTGTTCATCGAAGTTGTTAAACAGTTGTTAAATATTTTGGATGGCATGAGCATATCTGGGGCATCTCTTCACCTCCATGACTTGGACGAGTCCTTGTGGCAGACGAAGTAGTGTAATCTTTCTGTGCTGTGATACAAGACAAATTTCTTAAGGCCAGGTCAACACTTAACAGCATGGTGCATAAACAGTCCCTACTTATTGCCCATGCCTCAACATTTCCTCAGGCAGCACCCAAGGCTGAGGACCACATGGGCTGCAAAGATGTATTTGTTGAGGTTTTTGCAATGGCAGAGCCTTGAGGAAAGCTTGGATAGCAGGACCGTGGCAGTGTTTGGCAGTTCCTGGCCATGGCAAGTAGCTGTCAGGGAGCATTTGACCACAGTCTTGCTGCACCACACATGGCCCCTCTGTCCTCCTTCTGCCAGCAGAGCTGGTTCTTGGCTGTCACTCACACTCATAGATGGTGCCCTTTGCACAAAATTTCCTCTGCTCCTTCAAAGACCTTGTGTGCAAAGGATTTCAGGAATTATTTGCGTATCACTAGTAGCTGACTTATTTGTAACCCATGGCCTTATGATGGCCAACCTGATGCCTCTCCAAGATCTTTTCTTGGAATGGTTCTCCTGTTCTTTCTTTCTACAAAGGTATAAGTATCCACATTGTGGAGGTATCCCAGAATTCCTCTTCAGCACAAATTCACATGGACCCAACAGAAAAACTACCTTGCCACTGTCAGCAAGAACTTGCTCTCCAGGGCAGGTACTTCCAGAATAAAAAGCTAACATTCCTGGATCCTAAGCAGGGGATTTTCCTTCCAAACTCTGTTCCCTGGTTTATACCTTCCTGCATGCCATGTTCTCCTGCCAGGATGAACCTCAGCTGATAACTCTTATCCATGCAAGAGCAAAGTGTTTCCTCTGTACCCTTCCACAGCAAGCCAGACTGACCTTACATGAATAACACTCCTTTAGCCTTTTAATGGATGAGTTTTCCTTCAGGAGGAGTCACTAGAGAAGTATGTCCTCTGCAGCTCATGCAGTCTAGTCAGGCTAGGAATTTCAGCTCTTCAGCCACTCTGGACTTTTCCTTGGGAAATAAATGATGCCCTGGAGTAAAATAAATGAACTCTTGCAACTGGAGTTTCATAGAAGGTGACTGGATAATTGGTTGTTAGTCCTGTAAAAAATAACTGATGAGGAGTTTGTGGATTCATACATCATTTCTATGCTGTGACTGATATTAAAATAGAAAAAAATGGTAGGAAATGGGGAGAAAAGTTGATAGGATACTGTGAGGCTGATCTGGTTGTTTTTCATTTTGTTCTTGCTGTCGTAGGTGGGACTGAGTGTTGCAATAAGAAAAGCAAAAAGAATTACGAAGACTTCCAAGGACCTGGTAAGAAATCGATGGCATTAGGGTGTTTTACTCTGTACTAGCATTTTATCAGGAGTGAGTCCTTGTTTGTTTTGTTTTTTCTGACTGTGAATACTTCTGATTAGCATTGAATTGAATGCTGACTCACTCCTGCTTGATACAGGATGTGCTCTATCAGGTGACACTGGAAGAAAGAGAGGGAGAAATAAAGAAAAATTATGAAAGTATGGGGAGAGCATTAAAAAAAAAAAAAAAGAAAAATGCAGCTACCTTGTAGCTGTACGTAAGTGGATGCCTCATGAACTGACCCACTGCTTCAGAGCAGACCAACTGTGCTTTGGGGCTGTCTGAAATTCAAGCAATGGCTTGAATGTAAATTCTGCATATTTTTCCTGTATTTGTGAGATGCTGTCTTTGTCTCTAAAATTTGAAAAATGGGATTTCAAATCTTTCTGTCTCCAACAGTTTTCAGATTTGTAGAGGATCTCTAAAGGGTAACAGAGAAGGGCAGCAGCTTTTATTCTGCTGGGTTCACTTAGTTGAGTCAGTTCAGCCCTAGAGTTGGATTCCAGTTGTCTTCAGGCACTTAATACAGAGGAAATGCTTTAACTGTTTGTGAAGAAATTAATGATATTGCTTATTCCTGTGATGCTACTCACAAAAGTGAAAATTGAGGTTCCTAATTAGCCTTTAGGTAATTGCCAAGCCAGGGAAATTAATGAAGTGCTGGAGAGATGGGCCTCTGCTACTGCAGAACAGCAACCAGGATCTCTTACGCATTTTCGGTGCTGTGCTACTGATGGCCTGAAATTTCCACTCAAATTGCATGAAATTTTTATTCTTCTTTCCCTGGAGAAAGTCCCCATGTTAACAACTGTAATGAGATGCCCTGAGTCAAGCAGGTCTTCTCTGTGAGCTGGAGATCGGGCACAGGCACAGGGTTGGAGAGGGACTGGTATGGGGATGCTGCCCCTTGAGAAACAATTCCTTTGCTTCCTTCATGTGCTATATCCTTGGCATATTGGGCTGAGTCCCTCACATGGCCAGCCACATCCTACTCTCTTGTGCTGGGTGTCCCACATCCTTTCAGGATGTCCTGGGTGGGGTTGCATGGTTGGCATCAATCTTTGTGTGCAATAGGCTCTCCTATTTAGCCTTTACTTTCCTGTATCCTCAAAACTGCTCAATGCCCCAATACCTCTCTCAATCGCCATTGGCCCTTGGCCCCTTCCTGCTCCTAGCTGCCTGTTTACCGTGGGAAGGGCAAACAGACTGGAAACACAAAGGTCACAGCTGGTTTTCAATGTATTTCCAAACCTCCTGCACAAGGTCAGCTCAAATTAAAACACGTATCATATGCTTACCTGGGCCTCTCCTGAAGTTATTCTTAGTGTGCTTCCTGTAATGACTCGGGCTGAAACTTATTTTTAACCTGGAAAATAGAAAATAGCATTTACAGAGGCATTACTTCAGCCTGCAATTTCCCATTTACCCAGACTGAAGTTACTTTCAGATCTAGAAAAATAATGCAGTAAGAAACACAAAGGAGAATCTCTAGGAGGGATCACAATGTGAATCATGTTCTCATAAGCCATGTATCCCAGAGCAGCAGTGTGTGATGAAATAGTAAGGAAATCACCTGCCCAGTCTCAAGGCTGCCAAATCATGATCTGTTACCTGCACAGGCAGATACTCCTTAGTGAGAGCTGAGGTGCTCTCATTGCCTGGAGAGAAGATTACCTGGCTGAATGTGTGGGTGAGGAATCAGAAACACTCCAGCTGTGGTAGGACATCCTTGCATCAACATCAGTTAAGAAAGAAAAACATTCATCTGGCCTCTTTCATGCTCTGGCTCATACTAGATCAAAACGTCAAATTAGATCTGTTAATTCTTCCTGTATCTGCTCTTCTGGTTGCTTTTGCTGCATTGCATGTTTGGGGAAAGCCTTCTGAAGAAGTTCTTGCAAGTTAACATCTTGGCATGGCAGCTGTGTGTGACTGTGCATAAAAAAAAGAGATGTGATGATGGCTGTTGTAATGAGAATGGGAGATCCATCTGGATACCAGGATTTCACATTTACTTGGAATTTCTTAGGATCATTATGAGTTTGGGAAAAAGAAAAGTTATTCAGCAGATGTAGAGATGCAGTGAAAGCAGCTACAACTAAAAAAAAAATCTAATAAATGTCTCCATTCATTAAAAGAAGTGAGCTATCCGTAAGGCACTGGCTTAAACCAAACACCAACAAGCACTAGGGACTCATTGTTATTCTTTTTAGTAAAACCAATTAAAATAATTACAGAAATATCATTAGGGAATGTTAACAGGCAATGAACAGGATATTAGTGTTATCAATCACTGTGAGCATCTCTAGCACTAACTTTTCTTGTGGATGGAGAAGATACTAAGGAATATCTTTGAGCAATAGCAATGAAAGAATGGTGATTAGAGTTCTGGCATTTAATGAGAGCAGGCATCATTTTTACAATCCTGTCATGACTATGAGGTCCCTGAAAGTCACAGCCTGGTAGTGGGACAAATGGGAAGCCATGGAGGGAGCCCAAAGCGAACTGACAGGCAGAGAACATAAGCTGATCTCCTGCCCGCCTACTCTTGTTGCACAGGGGCAAGTTGTCTGTCAACAGCTCATGCTGCAATTGTAGCCTGTCTCTGCTGGGAAGGACACGATAGTGCCTGCTCACAAAAAGATTCCCTCTTTTTTCATACCTGTATTCCTTGTCTTTTGAGAGTAACCCAAGACACCCTCAAAGAGTAGATGAGCCACTCTCCTGCACAACGCCAAGCAGAGCTAAAGCATTACCTCCAGATCTCACTGTCCTACCTGTTGTGGGAATACAAAGGCTGTGGAGCAAGAGGCTGCTGGGCTTCAGAATGCTGCTGCAGCTGGTCCTCAGCAACACCCACAGCACTGCCAGGTCATCATCATGCATCCACTTCCATCAAAGTTGGGCAGTCTTTTTGATTGCAGAATAACCTTCCTTCGAAACCAGAAGGAAGCCAGTCAGCAAGAATTTTCGAGAGACTAGCTGAGAAAAAGGCAGGAAAGATTTTATTCTGTTTACAGCAAGGGGTAAACTTTTAGCACAGCCTGTGAGCAGAATAAAAGGAGGTTTTATTTATGTATTTATTTGTTGCAAGCCCTGTAGTTTGTCTTTCTGGTGCGGTTTTGGCTCCAGGTGCCTTAACTTCAAAGGCTTTGCGTACTGTGACTTAGGCTGAAGTGAAAAGCTGACAGCTCAGATGAAGACCCTGCAAGTCTTAACCTGGTGGAAGGCTTAAAGAGCCTCTGGTGCTTCTGTTGGCAGGATTAGTCCTACATGAAGGAGAGGGGGTGGCACTGTTAGATCTATGATTTGCTATGAAACAGCAAGAGTGAAGCGCACAGCAACACGGTCTCCTTTCAAGATGTGAAAAGGACGACTTTATTGTAACACTACATTCCTTATAAACACTAGTTCGCAGAACTGAGAATAAAATCAAACTCATTGGTCCAAGGAAGACAACACCCCCAGTAAACAAGCTTTCACCAAAACACCATGTTCTCACACATCTCTCCTGTCACAAGACCAGATGTTGTCACAAGACCAGATGTTATCACAAGACCATTGTTATCAATTCTTTTAGCTTTCTGTTTTCCTTTGAGCAGCCTGAGAAAACTCAGACTGCTCTTTTCCCTGGCTGTCCAGTATACCACAGGGGGGAAGTGATTTCTTTCCTCTTTCCTGGAAGTTTACATAGGTTTGCACATCTCTTTGAGAAAAGCTGGCATCCTGTCTGTGCACCTCTCATGCTCTCTGCCCACCTGACCATACACACAGAGCAAAAAGGAGGCCGGTGTCCCAACCACACTGCAAGTCCTAAGCCAGCCGATAGCTTGAATACAGAGGTGCAAAAGGATGGAGAAGTGCAGAGGGCAACTGGAGGTGCAGCAGTGGGACCAGGTTGGCCTTTCAGCCTGGCTGGTTTTAGCTTTTTCCCCCCACTTCTTCTGTGGTTGTGTTCTGGTTTCTCATTTCATTCCACCAGTACCTCCTCCCCTTCCAAGCCAGTGTGAGTAAAACTTTGTCATTTGAGTGTGTTGGACAGAGCTGAAGAAAGTTAAATGCTGGCTTTTTTCAGGTTTCTTGTCTCCCTGACCTTCGTTTTTCTTTTCTCTTGATTTCACTGTTGCCTTAATCAGAAAGTGCACTATTACAGCTCCTACTCCACTGCAGATCTTTCCTCCTCCTCCTCCTTTTCAGTGGTACCTGAAAAAGGTGCCACTCTTTTTTGTCATTACCTTGCTGCATGGTCACTTCAGCCACCAGCATAAATGTTGGCTGCAATCTCTGTACTATGGGCTGTGTCCCCTCTCCATTACCCCAGTTCTTCTCTTCACACTGAGATCCTGGCTGTGGCATATTTCTGTGCCTGACCTCCTTCTCTGCAGCATGAGAGCCTTATCTCCATCACCCCTTGACACCTGTCCAAGCAAACACCTTTCCAAGGAGCACAGGCAATGCCCTATGTTCCTTGGTTGGCCTCACTGCCTTGATGTGCTGCCTCAATGCTCTCCTTTGTCACTCAGAGTTGTGGGGCTATAGACCCACATCGTGTGTAATACGATTCCATTGGCCAATTCCATTGGCCTCTCCTGAGCTGTATCCAAGCTTTACCTTCTGTTTTATATTGGGCGTGGATTGTAATATCATTAGGTTGAGGACAACCTTACTCTTTTTTATGTGTATATGAAGTATGTAACACGAGGCAGTTGGTTCAAGGACAGAGCTTTCAAGTGCTATGTCTGTATAAACAATTACCCTTCTTTGCATAAAGTTATGGGAATGCCCAGCTACTCATCTGCTCCATATTTACATGGTAAATGTAGCCTCAGTGAATACGGAGAATTAGGCTGTGCACCAATTATCCTTCCACATTTAGAGACCACTTGAGTGCCCTCAGTGTTTCAAGACCAACTGAACTTACAGTGAAGCCACATGAGCACCATATTTTTGGGATTAATTACCCATGCAACACAATTCATTAGGAAGGTATCTTTCAGCTTCTGAAGCTTCCTGTCTATCTGGAACATCAACTGGATTGGCAGGGCTATGGGCTATGGGCTACTAATGTTAAGGAGTTTTTCTAGCAGCTGCTGTCTTTTACATCTCACAGGTTTGGCCAAGATAAAATCTAGATTTCCAGGTAAAAATCTCATTTAAAAAAATCAAGGGTATTCTATGCACAGTCTGGATCTCTCATTTCTCCTCTTCTTAGAGTTGTCTTTGGCCTTTGGCATGTAGAAACCAGACTCATGGCTTTAAGTGTGTGGCTTTCACTAGTTTTGCACCATCAGGTGCCACCACGTTTACCAAACATGTAATTTTTTACAAAGAATGAAAAAATATTGGTTACATGAGAGAAGATGGAGAGAAGACTGGAAGCTTTTCTTTCCTTTTTGAGTTTTACAGGTCATTGAAAGCAAGAAGAGTTGGGCTGTAAAATGCTCAGCCTTAATCCTTGACTGCCATGTCAGGTCTAAATCCTCTGTCATGTAGCATCCTTTTTGACATCATTGGAGTTTTTGGATGTTTCTAGGCAGAAAATACATGGTTTACTTCTGTAATTTACTGACACTGAATATCCTAAGCTACACCACCTCTGTGAATTAATGCATCCATCTACTTTTCTTTTTCTTCCTCTCCAGAAAAGCTTCTTGGGGTTCTCAAGTGTATGTGCATTCCCTCTTCTGGCCAACCTGTGTGAGAAGATTAAATAGTATGTATACATTTTCAGTCATTAACCAGAAACAGAACATGGTAAATTTGCTTCTTTCTAAAGTCATCCTTAGATAATAGAGCTTCCCATACTTTACTTATGTTGGTTTCCTTTATAAAACCACTGTCTAGGTTGTACAGAAGGATCTTGCACAGAGTTAAGCTAAGTAATACTTTCACAGGGATCCTTGTGGGTGTTTTAGGCTTAAACCATTTGGTCAATTTTAGCGCATCCCAGAGCTCAAATATGTGGCACACTCACAGATGTGACATCTCCAAGAGGAAGTCACCTTTCTCCTGAGATTTTTCTGAGCCCAAGAAACTTCATCATTTAATTTGTTCACCCAGCCGTGAAACCCATGTCTCGGTGCAGGAAGGCCACCAGCATCTGCATAACTCCGTGAGGAACCCGAATTTAATGTCAGTTATGAAGCATAGAACAATCCCAAGGTGTTTAAGGAAGTCACGTTCATGGTATCCAGGAAAAATAACTCATGATAGTGCTGACTTTGAGTCAGTTTCTAAGAAAGGCCAGGGACATCAGCTGGGCAATTACTTGCAAAGCCTATTTGTCAACGTACTCCAATGACGTGGAGGAATATTCAAGCAGGTCTAAGAAGAATTCAGGATTATCAGCTGTATATTTGACTGATTTAGCTGCCAAGACTAACTTGCTCACCTATTTCTGCTCATTTAATTGAAACTGCAAATATCAGAAGTTTATTTGGTATGGGTTGATTGGCATAAAAAATCTTGCAAGTGTCTTTTGAAATGTTAGTCACGACACATAAGCTGAGTTTGAGTCCTGTGAGTTCAGACAGTGGAGGTGGGAATAAAATTGTATATCATATGTTGGATTGCATGTGTTCAACTCAGCCTTTCTGAGCTTTCCTTCATGCACTCTCTCACTACCTTTGGTTTTTTATTTCCTCTTTCTGTAGCTAAAAGAAAAAAAAAAGAATAAAAAAAAGAACCAAACAAAACCAACCAACTAAAAAAATCCCAAACTTTTACCACAGATTTGTCGTCCTCGTTTGTTTTAGAGCCTGCAGGTTTGACATTGAAGCTTTACAGGAGTCCATCAGCCTCACCTCCAGAGCTGTCAGCAGATATTGAAATACAGAATTTGCTCTTTTGGGCAGGATCACTTTGCTGAAGTACAAGCACAGAGCTACAACTGAATATAGAGCAGTGAATATCATGTCAGTTATTATCTGTTCTGTACACTTCGCTGTGTTCTTTACTTTCTTAATAGATTCCCTTCCATATGTTAATACTATGGGTTTTGTTTTTGTTTTTTACAGTGTTCTAAGAAATAAACTGCCTTTTGAAGATTTTGATGGAGATAAATTTAGTACTTTCCCAGTAAGCAAAACCTTTCCTTTGGTACAATAATCCCTTGATAAGAAGGATGTCTCTGGGATTCCTCCTACTTTCTGCAAAGCCTTATCCATTCATGTGAAAATAGGTATAGGAATAAAATGAATGGAAGGTCTTTTGGTCATAAAATGCCGGGTTTTTTCCTGGATGAAAAAGCAATCATTCATGTGTGCCACCTGGGGAAATGCACACATAAAGCTGTGCTCACTGCAGAAGCAAATTGCTCTGCTGCTGAATGGTTGTTTACTGAATTATTAAGAGGTGAAGTAAAGTCATATTAAACCAAGAAATAAATTGCCAACCTGTCTTATTTCTGCATCAAAGCATGCTAGGTGTCACTTATTAAAGCTTAGCAAAGGGACTCTGGAATACAACCTGTTTACTGGGTTTTATTCCTACACCTTGAGTTAGTTTCTCGTTTTAGATATTTTAAATTAAAAGTGCAAGAGTAATAGTGGCTGTCCTATCTGCGTGTTTCTCCTGGACTTTAGACCTTGAGGGGCTATCACTGGCGAGGCAGAGACTGCAATGACAAGAACACGACCGTATACCCTGGCAGACGGTAATGACTTAAATTATTTTAAAGGCTTCGTATTAACAGTGGCTTTGAGAAAAATGAGCTCCAGATTTTGTTTTGACCATACTCTTAGACAGCACATCACTGCTCATTGCTTGGTTTCACTGTAAGGGAGACAAGAGAGGATGATCAAGACCAGGGATGGGACTCATTTGAAGGGGTGGCGCAAACATTTCTTACCTTTCTCTGAAGCATCTTCAGATAAAATTGGTCAGACATACCAGAGGTGGGGAGGGAAACCATGCTACTGACTAAAAGGATAAGTTTTATTCAGCAACTTCCAGTATTAACTTTAAATTAATATTGCATTTTGCGTTTGCATTTTGCTTGGAAAAATTTCCTCTCCTGTATCCAAAGGGGGAAAAAACCCACCCTTCCATGCAGAAAGGAATTTCTAATTCCTTTTTAATCTTGGTGAAAAATGGCAGTGGGGATCTGTTTTCCCTGGTTTTTTGTTGTTTTTTTTTTAATGACATTTCTTATCCTTTTGTGTCTCCATTTTAGTCCTGATAATTGGGATGCAAAAAGTGACTCTAACTGCAATGGCATATGGGTAAGTAAATGAAGTTACACCTTCCTGATTGCTGTTTCTCTTTTGACCTCTTTGGTCTTTGATTTAGCTTACAAATCTTTCTTTTTTTATTTTTTCTAGTTTTATTAGCTGATACTAAGTTTGTTTATTGATGCTTATGATTGTTTAAATTATAGCTTATGTGATTAATTTAAACATACATATGCTTATTAATATAATGTAATGGAAAACATCATTATTATGATGCAGTGTCTCCTGCAGGCAAACATTCAAGAATAAATAAATTCTCAGCCTCTGTTTTGCACTGCCAGTCTTCAGGTGCTAAATAGATATTCTTATCTACCCCTTCTCTTCTCTAACAGGGTGTGGATCCAAAAGATGGAATTCCCTATGAGGAGAAATTCTGCAAAGGTAAATCATTAGAGTCAATGCAAGAAACCATGTGCCCTATGTATTAATTTTATAAATATTTCAATACTTGCACATTCACAAGACAAGGGAAAGACAACAGGCTTTACCACATCATGAGAGAAGCAAAATTATTGACTTTTTTTATCTTGAAGATGGATGAAGATGAAACTTGAAAAACACAGGTTATTTCCTATTAAAAGTCAGCTCAGTAATGAAGCTGAATACATAGATTGGGGACGGCAGCAAACTGAGATGTCAGCTCTGCATCTCCTCCGGTGCCTGAAGACTAATCCAGAGTAATGGCTTTGCGATTTAGGGAAGCAGCTTAACATTTGCATTTATCCAGTTTTACCTCTTGCAATAAATACAAGCATTTTTTTTCCAGAGAAGGCCTTAAAGGGGTGAAGTGATGGCATCAGCTGATCTCCTTGACCATGATGTGGGTGGGTGCTTGTGTGTCCACACTGCACAAATAAAAGCCTCACAAACCAGTGGTGGCTGTCACTCACCTCACCTTATACTGAAATCAGTATCCTGGAGATGAACCATTGCCTGGCAAGACTCGTCAACATTTTTAGATAAAAGGCTAATCTACAAACGTTAAGTGAGATTAATTATAAACCAGACAGATTGTTCTAGCAGAAATACTCATATGAGTAGCACATCCCCTACCCAGTTTTGTTATAAGGAACTTTGAGCAATTTTCTGAGTAATCCAAGTTCCCTAAATATTTAAGTACTTTTTAATGCATAATCTATGGATAGTAAAAATATACACTGTGCACAGCAGAACCTCTGCTGAAATAACACACAATTTGAATACAACCATAATTCTTTTCCAATTAGCAAGACCTTCCCGTTTTTCATGCCCAGTCCCCAGTTGTTTCTCTAGGGTTGTTGGCAAATGCCCATTAGACCGTTTCTGCTGCAGAAGGAGTGAAAATCCTCTTGCAGTGTCTGAACATTTAAGCCATGTGAAGAGTGGTGTCATCAGTCACCCTGTGACTCCATCAGCTGCTACTGCTGTCCCTCTTTAAGCACTCTCCAAGCTCGGTTTCAGTTTGCTCTTTCTGCCCATGTGACTAACAAAATTCATCCATCAGGTGCAGACTCGAAAGGCGTTGTGCTCTTGGGAGACTCAGCCGGTGCTCACTTCCACATCCCTCCGGAGTGGATGACCATCACGCAGATGTCAGCGGTGAGAAATCACATTCAGCTAAAACCACTGATTGCCATTTGCTTTCTCTGTTATGCTACAGGTTGTCGAGGGAAAACAAGTGCAAAATGCTTCACTGCACTTGAATTTGTAGTTATGGTCTCACGTGTAACAGTCCCCTCCCACATCTGCTCCTATGAAAATAAAAAAAACACAGCCCTGTGCTACTGCTGCTCCTCCGACATCTGTGCAATTGGGTCAGGGAAGAGTTTGGCTGCAGTTGTCTTGGTGCTGTGCCAGAGACACAAACCACATCTAGCTTTCCATGCACATGCCTGCAGCTCAAGGAGACCCGTGCTGTCTGTGGCATCAGACCTGCCATTAGCAGGCTGGTTGGAATGGCTCCTTAGTGTGTGAGTGTTTGCAGAAGTGACCCTGCTGACAGTCGGGGAATTTCTGCTTGAGGCATCTGGCTTGGAAATGACATGCTCTGGATTGTTTTCCCTCATCCTATGGTATATGTAAAGCAGGTCTCATAACTCCAGTGTTTGTTTTTGAGGATTGTTGAACAAATGCATCTGCAGGTGCTTGAGGGTCATCCAAGTATTTATAATAGATTTGTCCTTAAGGGAAGAGTTCCTGTGACCATAAAATAATCACTGCCACACTGATGTCTATCCTTGAGTGGTATCCTAGCATTTCCTATTTTCAAAAAACAACAAAATGCACCTCATTGTGAACTATACTGAGCCTGCTGCACTTCACTGGCATGTAATGAAATAATTGAGAGGAAACGATCATTCCGGCAAACTGCAATTATGGGATGGAGATAAATGTGCAGGTATGTTCCTGACCTTCACCGTTGTTTCATACCCTGAAGTGCTGTTAGTCCCTAGCCAGGGAGGACTCTATCTTGCCCTTTTCTGCACAAGGGTCTGTTGCACAGGGTTGAAGAGATAGATCATCATTGCCCACCTTTCTTGATGGAAACCTTCTACTCATCCACTGCTGTCTGTAGAATAAGGTTACAGACATTTTCTGGAGACCAATTCTGTTTCCAGATTGTTAGTAGTTGCAGTGCTGTGGGAAGTCTGAGAGTTTCATGGGGTTTTTTTCCACTTTTGCTCCCACAGCTGATTTAAATGTTGCAGATTAGGAGTTGTTTTTCTTTGTTAGATGGATGACACTGATGACAGAGCTGATGAGGAACATAATAAATTAGCACTAATGATGATTGAGATTATCTCGTCTAATAAAGATGTTCATAATACTGATGTCAATGATGATTCTGACAGTAACACTGGTAGTAAAGCCATGTAAGCAAGACCAGTTTTAGACTATGTCAGCGTTTTATTATCACTGTAATGAAGATTTAGAAAGAATTTCTCTTGCTTGAAGCTCACTGATCCACCAGCTGATGGGTCAAGGTCTACTAATAGCATGCCAAGGCACAACCTTCGAGGTTGGGAGCTGGAGTGCAGATTACAAAAGTGAGTTTTGGAGGCTCTTTGTTTCTGTCTGTTGAGTGTAGAGCAGCTTGCATGGGGAAAGATCTGGTGCACCCTGTGTAAAGCCCAAAAAATATATGTGAGGTTTGGGATAGGAAACAGCATGTTTTTATTCTAGGATTATTTCCTAGCTTTCCTGCCAACCTGGCAAAAATATATCAGTTAAATATTAATGCAGACATACAGAGATCTCAGTTGTTTAAAAACTATTATCTGTGATTAAACTCTAGCAAAAGTAGAAACTTAATTAATTTGGAGCTCACCATGACTGTGGAAGTTGTCACCTGAGCACAAAAGTGCTAGCAATACCATTTCTGAACTAACTGAGATTTTATCACTGCCTCTTCCTTTTCCTTGTCCTCTGTGTCTTGCTTTCTCTGGGGGGAATATGAACAGCAGCAATTTAACTGCCTTGGGGTTGTGAAGGTGCAATACTGCTGTGTCTTGTGTTGTATTAAATGCCGCTTGAAAATATTCTTCCACTAGATTTATTTAAAAAATTAACTGATTTGTTTTATCAGTTCAATGACTTTTCAGTGCAAGGCTTCCCTCAAGGAGAATTTTGAAGCACATCCAGGGATGGTTTTGTGACCAGAGGGAGTGCAGGAAGACTATGTCCTCATCTTACAGGAAACATCGTCATTCTGGGACCACAAGCAACAATTTGAAGTTAGACTTTGGAAAGGAGAGGATAAGACATCAGCTTTGTGTACCTGCTGTTCCCTTGTGCTGTCTAACTCAAGACACTTTGCTTTGATTCTGCCAAAATTTATTTGATAAGACACATAAAAATACTAGTTTGTCAAATGGTTTTATCCAGTCAAAGTTATAAAGTTCAAAGCTTTTATTTCCATTTCAATAGAATCTCAAACCTCTACATGGAGTTTCAAATAGGACTTCCTCGCCCCTGCCCTATCCAAGTTTTTTATCACGTGTACAGGAAAAAGTTGTGCTTCTGTTAATTCAGATTTATTCAGTGTATTATGTATACAAAACTTTAATATTTTTCTATATTTTACATATTCATTTTATATGCTTTCTATATTTCATATATTTCTTATTTATATTTATCCTTTTATGTGTTTATATATACAAGTGTTTACATCTACAAGTGTAAAGTAAAATTTACACTTGGTAATAATGCTGTGGGCCCATCTGCTAATCAGTACCACATCAGTGGCAGCTGTAAATTCTAGTTTTAAAGCTAATTAGGTGAGGAAATCATTTTTCAGGAGAGACGCTGAGTGTTTCCTGAAGGGGCTCTGTAGAATGGTTGTTTCCCTTGATTTTACTGTACGTAGTCTACCTTGCAAAGGAGAGGCTGTGATGAGCAAGGAAAGAGAGAATGTGAATGAGAAGTTCACTCAGGGTGTTGTTTAGGTAGCTGGATATTCAGTACAGGGATGACAAAATGGGTATTTGGGCTGAACAGCCTTGAATTAGGATGTCCATGACATTAACTTGAAAAGCATTGCTGGGAAGATGATATACACTGGATTTTGGATTTCGTGGTCTAATTAGGAACTTACTGCTCTCTTATCTTTGTATTGTAAGGGTCATAACCCCTAGTGTAATCTGGTTCAGGGGGACATGCTTCTGTTATATATCTCATGTTGTATGGCATACATCAAGTTGTATCATTCACCTTTCCCATATCAAGTCCTCTGGCATGGTAAATATCAGAGTGGGTACTCCTGTTTTCCAGTGCTATTTCCAAAGCCTTTACCTAGGATCCAGTCACATGTACAATTAGCATCCCTCTCGGAGTATGTTCTTCCCACAAAGAGCACATGGAGACATTACTTGGTATGGAAAATATGCATTATGAGGTGGAAAGATCTTTAAAAACTGCAGCTCAGGCATGCTATTTCTACAGTTGAAACAAACCAACAAACTAAACAAAAAAAACACCACTCTTTCCTATATAGGGGAAGTCACGAGTACCTTACACAAAGAGAATTATACATCTCTAAGAAGGGGTCAAGTCAACTTTATTTTGGCTTTCTAGTTATCAATAGTTCTTGGATTTGCCAGACTTTTAAGAGTTTCAGCAAGAATTGAGCTGAACGTGCATTCCTTTATCCTGAAAATTTGGATGCTAAAAATTAAGTGTAATGCAATAGACACTCACTTTATAAGGTTTAGCAAAACAGAGGTACTATTGGGGTTTTTTTGAGGTAGATATTTTTTGCAGAAAGCTAATATTGAAAACACTGGTATGTCTAGTGATGGATATTGTGCTCCTGCTGCTCTGTCCATCTGCTTACAACTGACATCCAAATAGCTACTAATTACAGAATTTTTCTGTTGTATGTCTGAAATAGAAGCAACTTTCATATCTCATTTTAGACACATGTTAATTTTTAGGTAAAACACTATATTTATAAATGTGATGGAAATACCCTTTCTAGAAAGATACAATTTAAAACTATTGGATTTCTATTTTGTTGCTGAATAAAGAGGAAATTAAATCCTACATTTATCCATAGTCCAGTAAATACCTAGCTGCCCACAAACTCAAGGAGTTCTCAGGTATCATTAAAGTAACTGTATCATATTATTTATTTCTTATTAGCAGAATTCATCATTTCTTTAAATGTGGATTCAGGATGTCCTGATCCCACTGACTTCTTTTTTTTTCACCACTAGAAAAAAAGAGGAGTTTGATGTGTGAAATTGTTTTTAAAAACATTATCTAGCATTCCTCTAGATCCAGTGAAATGCAGGCAGCTCTCTCCAAGCTAGTATTGTCATGACTAAGATATTGCATTTTGTGGTAAATAAGGTAATAGTTTTGCTAATTTCAGACTTCTGTCCCTTCCAGCTTTACAGAGCAGAAATAAAATTCATGCTTTTTAAAAAAGATAGGCTATGCTTTTCTCAAGAGCTTATGGTTTGATTATTTGTATACTTAGAATGATAAAGTTGTCTGTGGTACTTAATTCTCTCACCAGGAATTGAATAGCATTAAAATCATTATAAAAAGAAACACCCAATTTTCTTTCAAATTAAGGTATACCTCAATGATTTCAGGATTTCTAGGACTGACATTTCTAAAGGCTTGTATGAGAGTTAGATTGCCAGTGTCCTTTTGTATTCTGATTTTGAAAATCTCTTGCCACAGCAACCCTGAACCTTCTTCCATTTAAGCACAGCTTGGCATATGTGTGTTTAGCATCAGCCATGGCTTTAGCTGTCCCATGCTTCAAGGTAAGACACATCTAGGAGACAAGGATAGTCACTGAAATTAGACCCATTTAAAGCATTTGAGGCTAAAATATGGCATTTGATGCTAGGCTGGAATAATTTTCTACTGATTCTCTGCTAAAATCTGGCACGTGGGCTGAAGTAGGTTTCTCAGCCAGAATAGTTTAGAGAATGCTATTTAAACAAGGCTATGCTCAAGAGAGTTTTATGCTAAAAGTCAACGCAGTTGCACCTCTAGAGTGGGACACATTTGCATCTGAGATTAAGCAACACAGTCTGTAAGGCTGTACTTTCCAAACTGCATCAATGCAAAGTTTAAGGTTCAGCATTCTTCTGAATTTTCCATTAAGTACTCATCTTCACCCTCTGGACAGGAAATATCTTCATAAGTCTGGCCCTAAAGTTCTTTGTTGGAACAGTGTCAATGTTAAATGTATATACAATTTTCAAATGCAACTATAATTTTAGGCTCAAATGTTCCTCTTCAAATCAATTTGCAACTCAATTAGGTTCTGGAAAGTTCATATTTAAGCCAAGTTTGCAGGCGAAAAAAACAAACAGTTAAAAATTACTGGAACTTGTCCAATGAAGATATTGTTTTGGAGTGCCAATGGGAAATAATGAGAGAATTATTCATAAAACGATTTGTTTAAAAAGTATTAAATAAAGCTTATCTCTTTTATACTCTAATATATGTGTCACTTATAAGAGATCATATGTGTAGGGATTTTTTCTGTGCTATATGTCTGTTTGTCTAACCTCTAAAGAAAACCTGTGAGGAGGAAAATATTGCAAATGGCCAAGCTATGCTGTATCCCCCACTTCTGCTCATAGCTATGCCCTGTAAGTGCTTTATTGCACACAAAACGAACAGATTTGAAGAAGGCAAATTTGAAGTTTCCCTGCAGCCTCAGAATACGAATATTTTTTATTTTTATATATATACACATACACTCGGACACATATATGTATGTGAGAGAGAGAGAGAGAGGAAAAAAACTGAAAGATAATTAAGACAGGCCCCCTTTTCACCTTGGTAACTAATGCAAATGTACTGTAAGTGGGTCAAATGTGCTGTTACATGCTTTAAACAGGTATCTGCTGTGCATTAGACTGCTCAGAGCTCAGAACATGGCTTCAGGATTTTCTGTCCCCCAAACCCCTTCCCCTTTACTTGCCTTTTCTAATTTTCCCCTGCATCTCCCTCCATCCTCTTACAGTCAAAACCCTTAGACATATACTTGGTGGGGAGCACAAGATTTAGCTCTCTGGCTCCTCCGTTACTCTGACCCTCCTGGATAAAGAATTACCCACCTGCTTGTTTGAAGTCTTAAGGAAATCCCACAATTGCTTGAAGAGAAAATGAAGCTAATAAATTATGTGGATTGAACCAGTCTATAGGTTCTCTGATTTTATGTTTTGACCTTCTTTTGGTCATTACCTTTTTATCAGCAGTTTTTCCTCTTTATGAGCACACTGGATTTGTACATTTGTCTTTGCAAGCATACCCCAGACTAGGAGAAGCTGGAAATTTACTCTATGTTCTGTCCTTCTGAGGTGGCAAAATTTATCAACGCTATTTTTCTAACCTTTCATGAGTTTTGGGACATTCAGAAAACAGAGTGGAGAAGAACAGGGCACTGTGTTTTGAATGTGCAACATGGCTTGTATCTGTAGAGAGACTTTCACAGGATCAGTCACTGTAAAAAAGTATTAGGGACTAATATCAGCAAAACAGAGAAGGGTAAAGGATGCATGTATTTGCACAGGACAGTTATGTCAGACGATCTGTTTTTCTCCCTTGTCCTTGCCATGCTCAGAGGCCTTTCGGACTCTGTTGCTTTAGTGCTATCCCCAAAATTTAGTGAGAACCAGGAAGAGGTTTTCGGGCGATCAGATGTTCTCAGCTCATCCTGCTATAGAGGGCAGGGGAGCTTTGAGACAATTTGGCATTATGCCTTTGCCATAGTCTCTGGGAACATCATGCTGTCATCTTCTCTTGTGCCCAAGGCTAACACACCTTTGGGCAGGATGGATGCTGGAGCAATCAGCTGCTGCCTTGGGAGTCTGCACCTGCAGTACATGCTCACATCAGGACGAGTTTTGGACTCTTTTAGGAAAAAAGGGTGTCAAGAGCTGCAATTCAGATATCTCCTTTGCTTTTCCTTCTTCCGTATCTTCATGTCTTCTGTCTTACAAAAGCCAACTTTTTAAGTATATGCATACATAATTAGCACTACTAGCTGTAATCTCAATTGCTGCTGTCCGCCTATTGCTCTGGCTAAGTGTTCAAATTTGCTAAGAGGATTTTAAGTCTGTGAGGGTGAAACCGGGTTGATTTAAAAATTTCTCTTTCAGAAATCATTTGTTAATCTCCCCATGGCTTTCAGTGATGAGCTTGACTGGCCCCAGTTCTCAGAGATCACTGGATTTCTGAATTCCACTATCGGGTAAGCCAACAGACAGGGTGGCCAAGTCATAGCAGGTCTCTAGGTCTCTCAGAGCACAGCAAGGAAAAAAACCAAAACATTGCTTGGAAGGAAAGAGAAAAATAGTATTCAGCTCTGCATCTGGTCTTTCTAAAACCAAGATCAACTCTGAATCTAGGGTTTTTAAAATATATTTGAAATATATAAGCAAGTCTTCTTGAAATTCAGGATAGGTTTTAGAACCTGTCAATCTGTAATTCAGAAGGAGAAAAACCTCAAAGAAATAAAAGATAAACTATTTTTTTTACAAAATTCAGGGGAAGGAGAGCATTGCTGAAAGCAACAAAAATCAGCCTTTCACTTTTCTTTTTTTTTTTTTTTAAATCCTCTTCCTCATGTGTCTTGGGGTGACTGTATGATGCCTATATCCCCAAATCGTCTGTTCTGTTGGTGTTGAATATTAAATTCTGCAACTTTTAGACTGGTTCCAGGAGTGAAAGGGCAGAGGGGGGAAGAAGAAGAAGTGCAGAGTTTGTTATCAGAGACTGCACTGGCTCCCCCGCATTCCTGCTCTCCTGCGGTGGACAGCGAGAGAGAGAGCTCTCCTTTGCTCTTGGTTAGTTTTTTGGCTAGCTGAGGCAGAGAAGCCCCCTGGATTATTTTTTTTGTTGTTGTTTTTTTGGTTTTTTTTCTTTTTTTTCCCTCCTATTTTCCTGGAACTGTCTGAACCTGCTTTGGACTGAAAACCCAGAAGAGCACCGGGAGCTCACACCTGTGGCCCACCGGGCCCGGCCTGGGCCGCGGCATCCCCAGCACAGGAGAGACTGAGAGCAGACTGAGTGAGCCGGGCAACCACGGAAAGAACTCGTCTAAATCTGCCGTCTCTTCGGAACAGCGAGAGGTTTTGCTGTTTGATATTGTTCATTGTTGTGTTGGGAGGTGTGTTGCCTGTTGAATAAACAGTTCTTTTTTTCCACTTCTCTCCAATTTTTTTTTTCCTTTTTTCCCGAGGGACCTCATTCAGAGGTTTCCTCCCAAATTTGCCCTAAACCAGGACACTCATGTTTCCTTTTTGCTGCTAAAACAGTGAAATAAAGGGTATCCCCATGGTTATTTCATAGTGTTCCCTACTGGGGGGAAATCTTTCATCTCCCCCTCCCACTTTTTTTTTCAACCCATTTAGAGGGAAATAACAAAAAGAAAATTTGAAAGAGTCTGTCACCTAATTTGCTGTGTTAGTTTGGCTCATGTGGATGGGGAAAGTTGCAGGGATAGATGGAAAAAGTAAGTCTATGCTAGAAGGGAAGGAAAATAAAGTCCAAACACAGAACACCTTGAAGTGCCTGTTGTAACTGTGAAGTCTAAAACAAAAAATCTTTTCATTAATCATCTCTCTGGCCAGCACTAAGAGGCCTTTGAATCCTGCAAGAGCTGTAGGATGCAATCATCAACCAGTGCCTGGTCTGACTTAAGTTTCAGATAATTTTTGTGTCTAGGATAGGTCAGGAATACAGCTGAATGCCAAACCAAGCATGAGTCAAGCCTGAAGAGGCTTTCTACCAGCAGAATTTAAAAGCTGGCAAAATAACATTCTTTTGCAGGAAAAATATCTGCTGCACCATATACTTAGACTTTTTGTTTCCTTTTTTCTCCCTGTGCAAAATCCAGGCTCTCAGCCTCAGTTACATTCACACAGTATCTGCTTTAAGGCAGTTTATTACTTGACAAGTCAACAGGAAAGATCTATGCAGCCTTCTCTATCAGAGCCATAGCAAAACCAACATTTAAAAATCTGTTACAATGCCCAGCCTCTCAGTACACAGTATTGGTCTGGGCTCCAAAGAATCTGAAGTTCACAAGTGATCAGCGCTTAGAACTGCCCCTGAAGTTGTCAGTGATAAGCCTTGGTCGAGTGTTCAGTTTTTAATCTCTTCCTCTCTTGAAAGAAAAAAACAAACAAACAAACAGCTGCAGCCCAGATGGAAATTACCATGTACTCATGGCTGGAAGCTTGATCTTGTCATCACCCTTTGGGCTGTTATCCTTTTGATTTGTTTTTTGCTTAGTTTTTTTTCATTTTTCTCAACAGTGAAGGAGATAAAGAAGAGAACTTAGAACAGCACTCATAGCCTGTTTTCAGATTAATCTGTACAAGATTTATAATGTTGGGAAATGATTGCCCTGCCAATATTTCTTGTCTTTACTTACTGTTCCATAACAACCAATTGAAAAGTCAATTTGTGAACAACGAACAAAATTTTTTTGATAAATGTATAACAAAAATGTTTTTAAATGCCTTATCTGAAAGACCAGGATAAAAGCACTGTTTCTGGATGGAAAAATGTCAGAGAAACTCTTAATCAAATTATAGTTTCTGAGGAGATATCTTTGCTTTATTTTAGGCCACTCTGTTCAAGATTAAAAAGACTTATGACCACAAAAGCAGAGAGGTGGTGAAATAGAAGAATAACTGGAGTATTGAGTTTTTCAGAGACAAGAACACACTTCATTTTTAGTATCAGTTGTATTTTCATCATTATCATATGGCTTAACCAGCTTGTATTTTTTCAATTTATTTCAGAGGGTGGACAGACTCTCTGTATCTACGCTTACGCAAAAGAAATCGCTGTAATCACAGAGACTTGCAGAACATTTCCCAAAATGGTATGTTAAATTTTTAAAACTTTTTTTACTATTATTATTTTTAATATTACTAGTGCTAATAAGTGATAATTGATGCTGCATTAGCAAACATCTGTCAGCAACAAAGAGAAATCCCTTCTTAGTTGCCTTCATTTCTTATGGAAAAATAAAGAACAGCACTTACTTAACTCAGCACTTAGTTAGCCCAGTGGTGCTGGCATCTTAATGTGCTCTCAGAACAGACTTTTAATGGGTAATCAAAGACATAAACAAAACTTAATACTGAGAGGACAATGACAGGACAAAACACTGTTGGGTTTTGATTAATTTATTTTGTGAGGCTGGCACACATCATCTTTCTAATAAAAAGGATATATATATATGTAATATGCATATAAATGCGTATGCGTATATATGCATATGTAATATGCTATAAATATGCTGCAGACCTGATCTACCTAGAATTAAGGAAAGTGTCTTGCATGGTACCCCAGACGCCAGTGTGCAGTGAAGAGGAGGAAGATTAATACAAGAAATAATAAGTGGTTAGAGAAGCAGCTAAGCAGGGAAGAGCAGTGGGTTTGAGAGCAAAGTGTGTCCCTCCTGCATCTCTCCTGAGGCTAATGCTGCTTTACATTTGGAGTGGTGACCTTAGAGCAAAGACATGCTTGATGGCTTCTATGAATGATTCTAAATTGGAAAGTATTAACTATCCTGGAGTGGGATACATACAGGAATAATTTAGATGAGCATGGGAACAGCACTGGCAGGAATTGCAGCAAATACCACTGTACAAAACATGCATGACAGAAGTAATTATGTAATTTACAGAAGTAATTTACTAGTTCTCTGTAAACTAGTGGCCCATCAGCCAGAGGTCATGGAGGGGCAGAGCCATTGAGGTACAAATAGAAATTCCAAGAAATCATCAGGAGTGCAGGGTAGAAGAGGAAAGAGAGTAAGAGAGGAATGAAGGCAAACAAAAAATCCTGAGTTGTCAGAGGAATTGTGTGAAGGGTTGACAGTACTCTTCCTTATAAATTGAAGTTTATGATGTTAGCTTTTGTTTCTTGGATTAGCTGATGTCCCTAACAGCTGGTTTAAAAGACACTTGAATATGCTGTGATTATGCCTTTTTGTTTCTATTGTATTTAATTAATTTTCATGCTTCCAAAAACTGGCTACAGAAGCTTGAGAAAATTTATTTTCCTCGGTTAGATAGTTTGGCTCTATGGGATGTTCTTCCTTTCCAGCAGATGATTCATGCTGGCTACAAATGAGAAGCCCTGCTGCCTCTAGAACTACTTAGAAACTTACTAAATTGTTGGAATTTCCTGAAAAAAAAAAAAAAGGGATCAGAAAGGATCTGCCCTGGCCCTCCACCTCCAACAAACAGATACATATGAATATCTCTAAGGCAGGTGCCAAGAGAACAGTGCTGGAGTCTGTTGCCCAGAACAGGATGAGGAGCAATGGCCATAAGATAAAATCCAAAAAGTTTCACCTCAACATGAAGAAGAACTTCTTTACGCTGAGAGTGGCAGAGCACTGAACAGCTGCCCAGGGAGGGTGTGAAGTCTCCCTCTCTGGAGAAATGCACCTGGATGCATTTGTGTATCACCTGCTCGAGATGACCCTGCCTTGGCAGGGGAGTTGGACCAGATTATATCCAGAAGTCCCCCTTAACCCAAAAAATTCTGTGATTCTGTTAGTCTGTGATCTTACCTGGCAGAAGAGTTATCATGATGCAGGGATCACTTCGAGGCTTAGGTGGCATTTTCACCTTAAAAATTGCATTCTGGTGCCAGCACTAATGACACTGGCAATGCCTCTCGTATGCCTTCCTCCTTCCTGTGGTATACATGGTGCTCCTGAGGCTTTAAGTCTTCTGTGAATGTGTTTTCTGTCTTTGGTGTCATCAGTCATGTGCTTCTGATTTTCTTGTCTGTAAGTTGCAGGGCACTAGAGTTGGTGGCTCCCATCATTGCATGCCCCCAGCTGGGCTTTCTGGTGAGAGATAATTTTAAAAAGGACCAAACTAAATGGTCAAGGATGACTAGGTCAATAGTTCTCATTCATATCCAGTATGTCTCAGTACCTGATACCCTAATTATCTTGTTCTGCTTTTTACATTAATGGGAGTGATACTTAATGTGCTTCCTTTTCCCAGTTCCCTTGTAGATTTTTTAATAATCTCTCACTGTGTTCATAATTCATTTTTCTTTCCACATATTCCCTTTCCACTTACACTACAGACACGTACAGGATATAAAAAAGAGGTGAGCCTGTGTCAGGGGAAAAGACTGCAGAAAATTAAGAAGTGAATTTTAAAAAGGGAAAAATTACAAGTGAGAGAAGAATTTCAGGATATCTTCTCTAAATCATCACACTGACACTACATTGTAAAGGTTCATTTTTATTGCCTCATTTGGTGTAATAGTTTCCGAGAATGGGAAGATTTAAAAAGCCACGCTTAGTGCCAATAAAGCAAACAGCTGATCACCAGCCTGACCTAACCCCACCCGGGACAGCTAAACCTTTCTCTGAAAATTATGCTTTACAGCCCCACATGTGTGCAACGAAAGGAAGCCGATCTGGTGGAGCTAGAGCCCAGGGATGGCAAGCCTATCCAAGCACCAAGAACTATGTTTCTTGTCCAGCTCCCCTACAAAAGCACCAGCATTCTATCAGACTCAGCACGAAGGGACATTCCCCCACTGCTCTTCTCAGGACATGCATCTTCACTGTGGAGAAAGGCTTCTCCAGCCTCCATGCTAACAGGATTTCTGCCTTCCCTATCTTAAGAAATCCCATTATCCTCTGGAGGTGGTGGACCCTTCCCTCACAACTGGAAGCAAATTCAACCTTGATTTCTCAACCAAAACTAAAAAAAACCAACCTCTCACTGGTCTGAGAATATTTGGAAAGCAACAGAGAGAGAGAAGGAGAAAAGATGCAGGGGTAGATTCCAGGGAATTCAACAGTGCGAGAGTAACTGTTTTGCTTTGTCTCCTTTTCTCTCTCAAACGTTTTCACCACAGATTGCATATTGTATCATAAAAGCTTCCTTGAAGACTCGATTTACCCATGAAAACTGTTTTCTAAAAGACCCATTCATTTTCTTGATGATTTGATTTGTAACTGTGCTAATGCTTTCCACAGAGCTGCTTATAACTACCTATGCTTGTGGAAGTAATATATACCCAAGAACAGCTTATGGCTTTTTTTTTTTTTAAATAGATTTTAATTTCTAGAGATCCCACTAGTTTATTTATGCTGAAACTACAGCCACAGTCCAGGGAGCCTTGTGACAGAATGGCTTGAACAGGGGGTGTTCAGCTCTAACTGAAAGAAGGGCTATTAAACAGAAAAAAACCCACAATTGCTGGTAGTTAATTTCCAAGCCATAGTTTCTAAGGTTTTTGTGGGCCTCTTACCCTGCTGAAAAGAGCTTCTCAATAGAAGGGCTAGATTTTTGAATGGATCAGCAAGCCCCAGGAGAGAAGTAGCAGATTGATAAATTCATTTTTATCTTGGAAGAACTGGATTATTTAAAACATAAAGGATTCCTTGATATATGTGATTGGCATCACTGTGAGTGATAATAACAAAGGCATCGCTATTAAAATGCAAAGTGTATTATTGCTACCTTAGGGGTTTATCTCTTAGATCTCTTCCCCCATACCAATCCAGCAGGGATTTAATGATATTCTGTCCACAAGTTTCCCCTCAAAAGCTGCAGGGAAGACAGGATTTACTTGTCAAAGCAAGCTTCAGAAGCGCAATGCAGAAAAGATAAGAGAGAGACCAGGGAAGAGTTGAGCTGAGAATAAGAGAGTAATTAAAGAGGAGAAGGAATGAAAAAAAGAGGAGAGAGTGAAAATACTGCAAAATAAGAGCAAGTACTACCTGTAGGATCTGCTTCTCTGAAATTTATGTTTCTGTATTTTGTTATGAGGTGAGCTTCTTGCAATCAGAGACCTAGTCTCATCTTGACCAAAGCATAAAGTCTTTTTGGCTCCTTGTTTGCTATCCTTCCTGTACTGCGGGTGATGGAGTTTGATTTGTGTTCTGGGGATGGTTGGGATGAATATGCATAGCCTATAAAGACCTGCTAATAAGTTTAATGCATAAAAGCTGTACTAAATGGGAACGCTTTTCTCATTCAAAACATAAATGGAATATTACATACGCTCACAGATATTTAGGTGTAGCCAGCTCCTTTCCTCAAGGAGGAGAGATTTTCATCCAACCCTTTAGGTGAATTGCAATTGAAATGCAGAGCTTCTTGGGAGGAGTGCAGCTGGCCTAATACTACTTTTTCTAAGTCTGACACTTGTGGGAAGAGCAGTGCAGGAACCCAAACACTGGTGTCTACAGCTGTTTAAGGTGTTTTATGGCATCTTTCCCACCTCCAGCTGCCTCTCCAGAAGTGCACAATCTCTCATGCGTCTTGTGATGTATCTGCCAGCCCTGCTGCAGGTGTCTTCGATACTCTGGGATTTCAAAAATGGCACTTGGTGCCTATGTTTAGGACCTGAATCAGTCCCAGTATGGTATAGCTGTGAGACACTCTCTTAGAAGAGTGAGAACAGTTCCCTTTGCAATTTATAGGGAAAGTTAAAATAGATTGACTGTTGACAAGTCAGGTTGGCTGGTTTACAGGAGACTACTCTGTTCAACAGACGGGAAGAAGCTGCCGGAACTGGATTAAAAGCCAGATCCAAACAACCCTGCACTTAAAAGTATTTGATTTTCTACAGGCTGAAGTGTGTGACTCAGATAAGAAAGCAGCAGGTGCCTGGATACAGCTTTACTTCTTAATGCCAACACCTAAAAAGGTTACAGAGATGAATTGTTGCTCCATTTTTACTTTTAGTTCTTCTGCATTCTTGGAAATATGCAATGAATGGTTTTGCATTCAGAGGGTTTTTTTGTCACTATAACAATGTTGTACTATTTCTCTCGTTCCCCCTATCTGTGATCAGGTGGTTCTTCAGGAAACATCCTCTCTTTAATAAAAAGGTGAGTGCTTAACAGGACTCAAGAGCTAACTCGAGGTACAGAAACACTGATGAAGTTCTATCTCTTTGACAGAAACAATCCACTGTGAGGATTATATGAGTGCACAGCTCTTATATGAAGCACAGCTTCCCTTGACCAGTGTGCTCTGTGGTGTTGGCTGTTGCTTCTCTAGTATCAACATTAATAAACGGGGAAAAAATGGGTTTAAGTGTGGATATCACCATCTCCAGGGCCTTGAACTTGGCTCTGTTAAGCCAATGGAGCATTTCCAGTGATTTTAGGGAAGAGACTAAGTCTTTCCATAAATCTCTATGTTGGGTCCCCTGTCACGATCTGCTGTTAATACAGACGGGAGTCGTGATGGTTCATTTTGATTTCATTGGGAGCAAAAGGCAACAACAGGGGACAAGTCAGTTTGCTCAAAGCAGAAATGCACTTTTATTGAGTGCCAATAACTCAGTTTTTCAATAGAGGGAGAGTTAAAGGAAACAAAAGTAAAGAGAGAAAGAGAGAGAGAAAGGGGGGAATGGGGAATAGCTACCAACAGACGAGATGGATGTCCTCGTGGTCTGGCCCAATAGACTCTGGTGTCCTCATGGTCCCAGCCAATAGACATGTCTTCTGTGGGGAGATCTCAAAGGCTTCTCCAGAGGGTCACTTTCTTATAGTCCTTTTCCAAAGCAAGTGGCATCCGGCCAAGAGGTGAGGAGATTTATGGGCCATTGTGAGGTGCTCCAAGACAGAACATGCAGCGGCGCTCCGAGAAGCAGCTGTAGGCATAGTACCGGTTTGAAGGCACTGAACCGGAGACAGCACAGCAAGCACAGTACACCAGCAAACAGTCCCTTGGCCAGCATCCACCTCGGCCAGGCCAGAACTCCTGTCCAGAAGCGGGTGGGGGTCCTTGGGACAGCCTCTATCCTCGCAATGGTCATGAGGTGTATGAGGGAAACTCTGGACCGATTCTTACAGTCCCCTTAACTGTGTGTAGCAATGTAGATAGACATGGGCAGGTCCTCTGTTATTTCCATATGGATATAACTGAGTAGCTACTGGGTAGTGAGAGGCTGCAACTCTCCTTTCACATTAATTTGGGTGGGTGTGGGTCAGCTGGGCTTTAGTTTGCTTGACACTGATATAATTTGTGTCTTAAAGAATTGATTTTTCTCTCCTCTAGAAAAAGTAGGAATGACTCCTTGCCCTCTAGCACTGAGTTTCAAACCACATCCTGATTTGATCTTGTGTTCAATTCTACACATAGATTTAGTTGTCAGCCAGACCTAGTCTTCCTCTCTGATCTATGATTAAAATATTCCCATTTTGATTGACGTCTTTGCCCCAAAGTTAAACTATTTGATTTGGCTTCTGAATAATACAAAGAAAATAGAAAGTGAGCAGGAAAAGCAGTGAAAAAGAAAAGTCCATGAGTAGCAAAAGGGAGAAGTGAAAAAAACTTCATTTAAGTCACTTTACTAAAATATAAAACTGGAGCAAAAGAAAACAACCACCCAAACAAGAAACAAACAAAAAAACAAAAAGAAAAAAAAAAAAAAAAAAAAAAATAAAACCAAAAAACCCAAACAAGCAAAAAAGACCCTAACACCACGTAAAATCCCCCCTCTCAAACATAGGAGTACAGTAATTTGGGTATTGGCCAT